TATAGTTAAATTAATTAATTTTAATTAATAAAGATAAAATTTAAAATTTTATTTCAAATATATCCATAGAATTAAATAGTGTAAGTGGTATATATATTTAATGACATTATTCATGAATAACAAAATAATGTTTTTAACCCATGAGCATGATGTATAATGTTAGTAGTCAATGCAAAATAATTGGATGACTCATTAATAGACTCATAATAAATTAATGATATAAAAGATTATCAATTAACAAATTTTAAAGTAGACTAGTGTTTCTTATAATTAGGAACAGTGACGGATCTATAAATTTTAGGTAGTGCATGGAGGCAATATTTATTTATTATTTGTAGTATTAAAAAATTTATATATCATTTTTAAAAGTATAAATATATATTATAATTATTTTCTACAAACTTTTATATCTACTAGAACTAGGTTAGACTAGATTATTTATAATTTAGTAGGTATGAATTTAACCTTCACTGAAAATACATGTCCCAAGTATGATTTATTTATCTGTCATAGACATTTTTTCAATGTTTGGTTAGAACTACAATATCAAATACCTATTTTATAATAATTTAACACTAATAAAAAAATGTAAAATTTTATAAAAATCAGATTTAATTTATTTATGATATAAACATGTTTTTAATATCTAATATAAACTTTTAAATAATAATTTTTTAAAATATTTTATAATAAAAATTATAAATAGAACATAAATCTTACGAATTTTACTAATTTGATTTTTTAATCAACGTGTACAATAAATAAAAAGCACCAAAGATAAATACGCATGCTACAAATTTTATTTTATAAAAAATTAATATTTTTAATACATTATATTATATATATGAGCATTAATATATATATATATATATATATTAATTAAACTTTTAAAAAAATTGATTCGTTATTAATTAATATTATTCATCACATATAAGAGCTAACTTCCTTCAAAAATTTGAAAAATATCAAATAAATAGACATCTCCTCCAAACTTAAATTTTATATATACGATAATTTAAACATATATAATTTTATTTCATTAGAATATAACTTTTATTTTTAAAATATACTATTTTTGAATATAAAAAATTATATAAAATTGTAAAATGGTAGTGGGGACAAGTGCCCCCACAATGTTGCACCTAGATCCGTCTTTGATTATGAGAAAAATGAAACTTTCATTTGTTTCTTATATATAAGATTAGTGGTAGTATCTCACCAAAAGTAGTTTTGATAAAGATGAATTTTGGTAAAACTGATAAATATTTTATACTTATAACATAATAATAAAAAAAATGTTTATGAAATTGATTTCAAATTAATATAATTTTATAAAATTATTTTAAAGTAAATGTAAAATTTAAAATAGTGAGATTTTAGTTTGAATAATTGATATTTGTTTGTGTTTAAATATAATTTTCATTCTAGTAATTTAGTGATTTTTTTATGTTGTCTAAGTAATTTTTTTTTAAATTATTCCAATAAAATAAATTTTAGTCTCTATTATCAAACATCATTATAAAAATATTAGTTTATTCGCATCATAAAGTGTCATGTCAGCACAACATGCCACATCAATAAAATAATTGAGACTAAAAATGGGGAGCAAAATCATGGAAAAATTGAAAAAAAAAATGAATTTATATGGATGAAAAAAAGTTACATAGACTAAAAGAAAAAATTTTACATATATGTAGGCACAAATAAATATATAAGCTTTAAATATAATATATAAATTTAATAAATTAATATAAAATAAACTCAAATAACAATATATATGTAGGCACAAATAAATATATAAGCTTTAAATATAATATATAAATTTAATAAATTAATATAAAATAAACTCAAATAACAAAAATTGTGCATTCTCTCATGAAAACTAATACTATTACTTAAGCTTAGTTTTTATGAGCCCAAATACCCTACATACTAACTTAAACATTAAAACTTCTATTAGAACTTTTTGACACTAAAATCAACTATTAATAGTCAATTTAGTGTTTTTTTGGATGGCTAAGGTGGATATAGTTTAGTGACAATTATTATATGTCTAAAAATCCCACATCGCTTAGGAGTTGAGGTTAAGGATAGTTTATAAACATCCTCCCTCCTTAATCCACTAAGGTGGCGACAAAACCGTGACGGTCCAACGAGTACCAAAGGAGATAATACTTCGGATGCGGTGACCCTAACGACGATAACGAACATTTGACACTAGAAGGAGGAGAGCCTAGGCTACTCTTGCCCTTAGCATCGATTGGGAGGCTTGTTCCAGTATGCCTCGAATGCAGTGACCCTAACGGAACACACAAATAGTATTTTTTAATGAGTAAAAAGAATCATTAAATAAAACATGCATATACGTATACAACTTGAATGAATGTATATTCACTTATTCTAAGTCTCATCTAAAAGTCTTACAAAATGTTAACCACGTATGTGAAGACCAAATCTAGCTAAAGAAAACACTTTAACTTGTTACTTAAGTCACAAAATTAAACAGCAAAATAGAGTATTAAATAAAATGTTATCCCCGTTTCACAATCTATGAAAATTGAATTATATATATTGCCAGTATCTATGCATCCTGTGAGACATAACAGTTTAAGGTAAGATTAGACATTTTTATATTTTTTTTAATTTAAAATAGATAATTATATATAATAAATTTAATATGTTATGTGTATGAGTTGGATTATATTGAATTGGATTTAAAAATCAAATCTTATTATCCAACTTGAATATTAACAAGTTTGAATGGGGTAAGTTGTGTTTAACCCAAACACTTAAAAAAATCTAATCCTAAATGATTAGATTGATTTAGATTGGTTTAAATTTACAAATGCTAACATTAAATAACTACTAACTATTTGTTAGAATAATATGATAGTAATAAAGTCTGAATTTAAGATCTTATAAATATTATCTTCAATCCTTTAGTAATTTTTTTTTCTTTCATAAACATAATCTAAACAAGATTTCAAAACTCAAAACTAGGGCGTAATGGTATCCAGTTGCATGAAAGATCCGGCGAGTGTGTGTATCCTGGGAGCGACGCAAACTGCAGCATATAAAATTGAAACGTGGATTTTGGGACGTGATTGTTGAAAACTATTTTGCTTTCTTTTCAGTTCTTAAAAGTCGAGTTTTCAACGCGCTTCTCGTCTTGGTGGTCATGTCGAACCGTTCTTCCTCGTGTGTTTGAATTCTTGTCATAACTCATAACTTGGTTGCTCGCACAAAACGTTCAATTGCGTGACTCCGACCTTCCCTCTCGTGATTCACCACTTTCCATTTCGTGTCATCCATGTCTGCATGTGCACCAATTATACCATTAACCAGACCTCAAATTTTAGTATCCTTGTCTTTGCAATAACATTACATCATTAAATGTTGCTACTTGTTAGACATCACGTCGTAGGACATAATAATGTGTATAAGGTCCTACACCATTGGACCATTGGATTAATAGCAATATCTGAAGTGCTATATATATATATATCTATATGTGTGAAAACCCTAAATAAAATATTGACCCCAATGAGCAAGCTGAACCGTGTCAATACTCAATACCATGTCATTGGCTTTCACTCTGGGCTTAGAGACTTTGAGCCCAAAAGGGAACCGGCTCATTCTTCTACAGGCCTTATAAACCATGTTGGCCCATATCTATTTATATTGTAAAAGTTTATCATTATGATCAAATTCAAGTGAGATTGTTTCAAGAGTTTAATGGTGGTGTCCTCTCAGTGTAACTTATTTTAAATCTTCGACCCATAAAAAATTAGGGGTGAACAAAATGAACTGAATTGAAGTTATAAAAATTATACTGAATTTAATAATAGTTCAGACGAACTGAACTAAACTAAATATTAGTTTAGACGAACTGAACTAAATTAAATATTAGTTCAGACGAACTGAACTGAACTATTTTTTTGTGTCATTGAACATAGCTTAACTATACTATAAAAACTTGAACTGAACTGCAATTTAAACTGTACTGAACTGTTATGATATTTTGAATTGAACAATTTTAACTCATTGATCTATCAAAATAGAACACATTTGCCAACTTTACTTTATTTTCCATTTTATTTAAATTTTTCAAAGAAAAAAATATAAAATTAAGTCAAACAAACTCAGTGAATTTTAAGTCTAAAAATAAGTAGTCCAACATAACTCAATTGATCTGTTAGGTTCGATAAAATTGATACAATTTTTTTTATCACTTTTTTTCTAAAGTTTTGGTTATTAGACTATTTTGTTAATTCATTAAGACATAATATGTTAGACACATTTAATTTTTATCCTTTTATAAAAATAGTTCAATTTTTATAATTCAGTTCAGTTTTATAGTTTAGTATAATTAACATTCCAACAGTTCAGTTCAGTTTAGTTTTTTTTTTTTAAACAGTTCAGTTCAGTTTTTTTTACAAACAGTTCAGTTTTTTATAGTACAGTTCAGTTCAGTTCACCACCAATTCAGTTCAGTTCATTTTTTTTTTGCCTGCCCCTATAAAAAATCACACTTTTAAAATAATTATTGTAAAAATTGTAAACTCATATAAATGATGATTTATAATTAAATGATAGTATAAAATCGTATTACATTATCTATGTGTAATTGTTTTTCTCTCGTTTCAATTAATCAATAATATTAAATTTCATAATTAAGGATTAATTTCTTAAGTTCTAATATTCATTTAGAAGCTTATTATTCTTAACAAAGACTATTTTTTAAGACACAATGATTAAATATGCAACTACGTGTTTAGTGAATATATTTATCTCTCAATTATATTTATAATCCGATTATCATGTCACCAGTGTAAAATGTTTGATTATTTTTAGTAAATTTTTTCTTCTGATTATTATTTTTCCACCAATTAAAAGTCTTATGGAAGGAATTCGAGTTAGTTCTTTTTAAACCAACTACGTTTTATAAATTTTAATTACTTAATGATATAAAAACTTTTCATGTGAACTCGTAATAAAATAATTGGAAAAAAAAAAGCCCAACTATGTTTTTTTTTTTTTTCCCCCAAATTTGATTACATCCTCAACTCAAAGCGTGTACGAAGTCACTTCAATGGCAGGTATGGAACCCAAGCCTAAAGACTCGGTTTCAGGTATCCCTCGATCAAAGCTCTCGTCTTTTCATATTTCTCGTTAACAAAATTCTTATACTTGGTGTTTGCTATCACGGGGTTTGATCTTTCAACTGTTGCCATTTCTGATCTTGTGACCTTAGTTTCAAAATATTGCTTGATCTATTAACCGTTCTTGCTGAAATTGAAATTGATTTCATTTACAATATGTTAATAACACCCTTTGAGTTCTCGAGTTAGAATGTGTTGTGGTTTCAGAGAATCTGTGAGAATAGAGAAAATTAGATATTGTCTCTGTATCATCAACCCTTGTTTTATATCAAAAGTGTAACTTCTTAACTTAATCGTAAAACCCATATAATAGAAGAATCCATTTATAGCTCTTGCTTTTTTAATTCTTATGAGTTTCTTCTGTGTGCCCATTGTTGAAAGTTCTTTTCTTTTTGGTTGTGGACTTATGGAGAGGATGTGGAGGTTATTTGATTTCTTATGTTAGAATTATTGTTTCAAAGTTCTTGGTATATACTAGTTTGTGGACTAATTTCATGATATGCCAGCATTTTTTTTCTTTCAAATATTAAAATTGAAGTTTTAAATCCTTTTTATTTTGTTTGATGAAAGAAAAAGATGTGAAATCTCCAAACATTTTTGAGCGAGCTAAGGAGGAGATTGAGGCAGTGTTTCATCACGACAAATCGCCTCACCATCACAAAGAAACTCATGGAAGAAATGATGACATTGATGAGGAAACTTCAACTAATGAAGTCAAAGCGCCTAATATGTTTGAACGGGTGAAGGAGGAGTTTGAAGCTGTTGTTGAGGCCATTCATCCGAAGAAAGAATCTACCACTCGTGTCTTGTCACCAAAAAGTGATGCCTAGGATGTGTTAATTTTCTAAAATAGGAGTTTGAAGACTTGTGGTGTTAACCATCAAACTACCATGTTTGCTTTGTCCATTGAACTTTCTTTTGTTGTTTCAATTATATATAAATAGTAAATTCTTCTTCTTCTTTACAATTGCTTATTTGAATGCTGAGTCCTTCTTTTCAGAAAAAGAAATTATCCCTGGACCGATACATTATCAATGTGAAAGTTTTATAGTAGACACTTATTTGTAACTTCATCTGGTTTATCAGCAGGATTTATAATTCGCCAAGTATATTCATTCTGTTCTATTGGCGGCTATATTTTTGCAAGCAACACATTTATCTGTATAATTTGGTATTCAATTACACTAAAATTGGTGTTTAACTACATTCAACTCGCATGGCCAATTCTCTCTCGTGTTGTATTTTCCTGTCTCCGATCCATCTTAACCAAATTTAAATTTTACCATGAATGATAAACCTGATCTTGCTGGTAAATTCACCTTATACCTTTAGGCTCAAAGAAAGGTTTGCTTGACTTGTGATTTTGTTTTCAAGTTTGGTATCAATAATGGAGCTGTGGCATATGATGCTATCAGTTAGAGATATTGTGGTTCAAGTTATTGGTTAATGCTAGAAAGCTTGGTATGGTTTCTTATGTATTGCATTAAATGAGCTTTTTTACAAAAGAATAATAATGTGTATATACGATGAGTCTTAAACATCTCACTGGCCACCTCGATACTCAATAGTGCAGTGAGTCAGTGACTGCTTTGCTATTCCTTCATTACCTGATAAGATTTTGTACACCCTATATGCAACGTAATAAAGTACGAGTGTAATAATAATTTATTTAATGTAGAATTAAGTCAATCCTTACATGAACTAGTTTCCACGTTGACTGATATCAAATAACAAAAGTGAGCATACGCACAATCTGGCGTGATTTGTTTAGTACCTACCGTGTACAATCCTAAGTTTTGTTTTTATGAAGAAATAGAGCACAAGAGCGAAGCAGCTTTATAGTTTATACAAAAGCGGGACCAGGAAACTAGAATTCTAAGCCGAGAGTTTGTCTTAAAACACTTTAAAACCTATTTAAAATGTTTTGGCATTCACTTTAAATAGTTATAAATTTTCCTATAATAAGTTATTAAATTCATTCATTTTTTTATATATATATTTGATACTGTACTTTATAAAATAATAAGAGGATTAATAAAAAAGATAAAATAGAAGAATATACCATTACTCTTTCATTTCCCAATTAACGTTATTAGAGTAGCCAAACATTCATGCAAACCATCTAACCCATAATACTTAACTTTTTTCTCCCTCGTTGTCTTTTCTTAACTTCTTTTCAGCAGCCCTAAACTCTATATTATTACTAGGGTCCTTTTCTGTCACTTTCTTGGCAACTGTCTGCAGGTTAGTAGGTGGATAACATCAGCTTCCTTGACTATATGGCACATCAACACATGAAATATCCTTTTACTCAAGTCACTCAGCTGCCCTATAACTATAAGTAATAATTCTCAGACAATAGTGTTCGCCCACATTACACAAAAAATGTACATATAGGTGCATTTGTTATTTAGCCGTTTCTTCCCTTGATAGTCCTTTATCATGATTCATGACTGATTGATTAACTATTCATGTCATTTTTTACTAACCTTCATATAACATCACTGAGTTTATTAATTGCCTATCTCTATGAAACACTTATTATCACACAAATTGCACTGGCTACAGTCAATTACAACACAATAGTGCCTAATAAGCTTAGCAGAAACAATGATATAATAATACTAATACTTAATGGCTAGTTCACCTATAATTCACTGAACCCTCGATGGACCATGGTGTCTTTTGAACCATAATAAATGTTGTAACCGGAATATGCTGTTCATTGAATGTGGGAAAATATCCAGCAGGTGAGGTGGGACAGCCAAATTTAATGCCAAGTAGTAAAGTAATAGCCCAGATTGGATGTTACTAAGGAGACTTGTATGTTGTCCAACAACCACCCATAGAAAAGTTGAGAATCTTACCTTATTTAATTCGTTAACTAACTCATTAAATTTTTCTTTTCTTGCAGAACTGAATGGTTAAGGCTGGTGCTTTTTACCACTTTGAATAACTGCCTCTCTGATGTTGATTTCTTTCTTCCCCATATGGCAATGAAAGCATCAGGAAAAGGGAAAGGCTGAGTAAGTGTGTGGCCTATACGTCAAAGTCATTTTTGTTCTTTTTTAATCTGAAATATCAGATATATTTATGAGGGTCTTGCAGGTGCTTCAGACAATCAGGCCCAAAAAGGGTGCTGTTATTCTGAATTTGTGGACCATCATAAATAGTATTACTAATTTGGATTGATTTGAGAGAGAAAGCTTTGGCTTGTTTTGAAAGGTAAGTTATCCAAGGTTAGAGGCAGAAAGACAGTGGAAAAAAGAGTAGTCTTTGGAGTTCCTACTGAGTTGTCAAATGAAGGTGAAAGTTGCTGAGGTTTTTAACCCTGTGACAAGAAAACTGAATCACTTGCTTGTGAAGCAAAATCTCTCGGCCAATACAAAGGTTTTAAAGTGTAGCCTTAGAATGTTTGGGGGTCCTGGCCTGCTTTTCGGGATTTGAAACTTGCAAGCTCCTTTGGTAGCCTTCATATATTCCAGCAATCATGCCTAGCCACTTGTTGTGACTTGTGAGTGATTCAAATTCTACTCTCTCACAACATCAACAACAAACGTTACTATCAACAACAAGCATCATAACATCCATCATTTGCACTTCTGAAGAAAGAAAAATGATGGCAAGATTATTCTGTTTCCTGCTAGCTCTGCAAATTGTGAGTTTGGTTTCTGCAGTAAGGAAGCCGTTTCTTCCAGGTAAGTTACACAAACCATTTTGTAGATTGCTTGTTTGGGTTCTTTCAATTACTTGCTAAACCAGGACTTGCAAAATGTAACTTAGTATTTGAAAATGACATTTCTCTAAAGCTTTTCAAACATTTTGTAGTAAGAAAATGGCATTGAAAGAGCTTGCCCTCATTACCTTCTTCTAGCTCAGTGAACATTTTTTAAGACTCTTATCACTTCATTATGTTTTAACTGATATGCTTCATTCTTTCTGCTCTATGTTAACTCATCTCTCCCTTCTTTTCAGGTCAAGAAGAGGCTCTACAGTCTCCAAAGGTGTTTATCTCTCTGTATGTTTGGAACTGTGAGTCTAGTTGGTGTCCTAATGACTAACATATTGTTGCACTGTGTCTATTTTGTATCTCTTTTAAAGGGTTTAACGGGCACATCAAAGACAATGAAGGATGCATATGATCGAGGAGTGAGCAAAGTAGGGTCAAGTCCACCAAGTTGTGAGAACAAGTGCTATGGTTGTGTTCCATGTGAAGCCATCCAAGTTCCCAGCACAAGCATCAGGCACAACCATTTGGGCATACAGTACGCAAATTATGAGCCTGAGAGCTGGAAATGCAAGTGTGGTCCCTCCTTCTATAGCCCATGAGCATCGTTCCTATTCATCAAATATTGTTCATATGTATCTCCCTCTCAAGTTCATATATGATATCCCTTTTTAGTTTGTAGAAACAGTCCTAATAATTTGGCAAATCATCGTTATCTTTACATTCAGTACCAAGCAGAAAAATCTCTTAGGCCAATGTCAAAACATTTAAATACAAACCCTCTGCATGAATGGATATATTTGATAAGTTTACTAGCATTAGCTTGAATATTAAAAAAATTCGTTATGCCATTTTACTTTTTATTACCAACTCATCCTCTAATTTAGAACTCATTTGACATCACGGCTTTTTGCAAACTCAAAATGACAAAAATGAAAAGATAAAGTATTACATATATTCCATCTGCAGGGTCTGAGTAACCGATTTATCTACATTTAAGGAAAAGTTTCTAGGGGGAAGCAGTTATATTATAGGTTTGCAGTTCTAGTTTTTGCACTCTTCAGTCTCCCCCCTATCAATTAGTTGGCTCATATTATTGTCTTACCAGGTGCGAGCTTAACCAAAATAATTAGACCAACAAACATAACTTGAAAGAGATCATTTTACTTTATAATAAAAATATTCAATCATAAATCATTTTACTTTAAAATTAATTTTAGACTAAATTTCACTTTTAATTTTTTTATTTTCACGGATCCACGCTTTTGGACTCTATGGTTTTGATAGTTGTTTATAGGATATATATATATATATATATATATATTCTTTTTTTCTCAAGAGGAGGATTATATCTTTACAGTTATTTTTTTTATCGGTTATTTACGTACATGTCTCCACAATGGTAACATCAGTGACTATTACATAAACGATTGTAAAATTGATTTGAATTACTTAAAATTAAGACTAAATAGTATATTTAGTTATTATATTTTTGTCAATTCGTAATTTTGATCTATCTATTTTAAAATAAAGATATTTAATCTTTTTAATTTTAAAAAAATGAAATATTGGTTTTACTATCAAATATATTAATTATGATGTTGTTTAGTGATCTATTACCACTTAAGTGACATAATATTAATGATGAGACATGTAAATATAAAAATTAAAAAATAATGAATAAAAAATCTTTCTTTTGTATATATTTTAACAAGATCTTTATTTTTATATATTTTAATAAGTGATTGATATTTATTATATTAATAATTTTTTTATTTTAAAATATAGACATTTAGTTCCTCTAATTAATATATATATA